ACTACAGGAGTACCAAAAATTCTGTAAACGATTCCTTACCGTGATGGTTGTAACGGACTTATCGCCAACGTATTTGTTTCCTGGTCCATCGGTTTCTTGTTTTGTTTTCCACTTGATTCAAACGTTTGTTGTTAACTTTGCAATAACAATTTAGTATAACGGATTTTCACTCGGCTTTGGTATACTGATTGGCCATTATCTTTTATGTCGTTGCCTTGTCAACAATCGAGACGACAAACTTATTATTCGTTAAAATGAATAATCTTTCTGTGCAAGCAAAACATATGACAAAAATTATGAAGGTATAATATCGTGCACTTAATATCTATACATACTTTATGAATTTATCGTAATATACACTTAAACCATCACTGCAGAAAAACAAACACAGATGGAGATAAAAATTGCAAACAGACTCGCTCATAGCGATAAACGTAAAATAAAAAGAGTTAGACTTAAAATTCATCTGATGAATTCAAAATCACGTCATTTTTTCTTTCTCATCGTGGTAAAGAATACACAAATATTTTGTGGCATAAAATCTGTATTTTGAATCAAATTTCCCGTCGGTACGATATTCATAAATTATATCATGCTAACTCGGGGTGCATTATTTTCAATTGATCGGGCTTGTCAGCTTTTCCCGCTCCCCCAAAAATGAATAGAAAATATCCTATCTCATCTTATTCTTTAACTTGACTGTTGAAAATAAAATTAGTTATTATGAAGTATGTTCGTTACATTAACTGATGCGTTGATGATATGATTTGACATTTATGTCGTTTGACGATAGACTGATTTTGCAAAATAAAAAAACCATTTTCTGGTTGACAAAAGTCTAGTAGAATATACACATAGTTGTAAATTATAAAAACTTGTAATATTATGTAACCACATAACAAAATCACCGAAAAATCGGGATATTAGGTTGTAAATCACTGTGGGGTCATAGAGGTCGTCATGTAATAGTGCTGGAATCGTAAACATAGTTATTAGGGGAATCCGGAAATTATACTATGGGACAAAATTGCAATTACATCCTTTGAAATTACGCGAGGTTCCTACTGAGCTATTCATTTCAATAAATTTTTATATACGAATATTCACAAATGTGTATATAGTGAACTCGGCATTGATTTAACCAAGCACAACCAATACAAGAAAAAAAACTTTATGAAAATCGTAATAGCTACGTTTGCAACGAGATTAACGACGAGGAATCTCACTTTGAAACGGCGATTTTATCTTACTATAAAGTGCTGACCTATCAATCGCGATCCCTTAATGGTCACGATTCCGTACGCTTTCAAAATTATTCCCTCTGGAATTTTACTAAAAAATTACATTTGAATCATGTCATATTCTGTACTTGTGGTGATGATGGCGATAATGCAACGACTAAATTTACGCTATGCTCGTAAAGTTAAATATTCCCTGTTTGTCGTAAAAAATCACGGTCGATAGTAATAGAATAAATATATTCAAAAGCATATCTCTTATTAATAGTAGTCATACTATAAAGATTTGTTATAAAATTATGAACTAAATTTTTAAAATGTTTAATAATACCAATGTTACCAAAAAATGAATAAATCTGAAGCTTTGTGATATCACTTCGTCACACTTAGTATTTTTTTTAATTAATGGCGCAATATCAATGCAAATCAAATGTATACGTACTCCCGAAGTATGTGAACCAAGATGGCGGACACCGGGACGTAGTATGTGTACCAGCCACTACGGGAGTCACTTGGCTAGTCCTCGAACTCGTAATAGAACAAACATAAGAATTATTTGAAAGAAATTATGGCCTAGCCCTAACCTGGTAAAGATACTACGTTCCGGTGTCCGCCATCGTGGTTCACATACTTCGGAGCACATCAAATGCAAGATACATTGCTGCACATTTTTAGTAGGCAACACAAGGATTAGACAAACGATGGTATCATCTATTTTCCTAACTAAATTCAGGAAATATATACTTAAATTACAATATATTCCTACCAGAAAGTCATTGTAAAATCGTAGAGATTGAATTTAATAATGCAGAGAATTCAGTTCTATTCTTTATAACAATATTTTCAGATGGTTAATGAATGTTATTTCAGATTGAGTGTCTAATTTAAGCAATGAATTCTGAGAGATAAATGTTTTTTAAATTGTTGCTAAAATTAAATTATAATCACAATAAAAAAAAATATGTACTGTATTATCTATAAAAATACGTGTATTTTCTGGTTGCTCCTATTCTAGATTAAATACACCTCGAATCTAATAATTAAGGAGGACAATACTTTGATATGTCAACGTTGAATACTCTGCAATCTTTCTATCACTTCTGTTAGGGTAGGAATGTGAGCTGGCGTTACATGAAAATTAGGTCATATTTTACCTTTTCTAATTACTTATATCATGACGATAAAATTACATTACAGGAACATCAAATCCCGATAAACTAATCAACTACCCTAATTGTTAGCTACGTCCAACACTGCTTGAATTACTTGTGACGCATTTGGCGCTAAATTTTACTTCGCATATGCCATATATCATACGCCTAATCAATGAGAAATTGGCAAACTGGAAAAGTTTTTATAAAATGTCATTGAATTGAAAATCAGCAACGGGGGACAAAGTGTAAACATACGAATATATACATCTGAGAATGTTATAGTTGCCCTATAACGTTGTTATGATAGCTATCTGAGATTTTTGCCCAAATATGTTACATCTGGAAAGAATCCAGATGAATACAGAAAGAATACATTTTTAATATAAATGTTGACGGCATGGCATGAAATAACTTTATAAACATTTTACAGAGCAGTTGCACCTGCGTCTACGAATACACATACATGCTATTTTGAGTTACGACCATGATTTTTATTCTAGCATGGTAAATAGTTATGGCTGTGCAACAACGAATAAACCAAATTTGGCGGCCAAAAGAAATCATGCACGCGAAAACATTGTGTCACTTTTCAAAACAAGTCTACAATAACAGGTAACAATATCTAACAACCTTATTATTACACTACATTTGCCGCGTATTTGAGAAATTGCTTTCGTGGAAAAACCATCTGCTCGGACATGCCTCAGTATGTATTTCCGTGCGGGAGGACTGAAAAGACCCCGGACGCCATTATTTTGTTATTAAATCAATAGAAGGCATTTAACAGCTGGCAGACGGTGTCAAAACAAATCCCTGAGAGGACAGTTTTACACACAAGGTATATATATATTGCCCGAAGGTCCATCAAAAGCTTTATATTTTGATCAATAAAATGGACCACCTCTTCTGCTAATTCATATTGATATTTCAAGTGCAGTCAAGAAATACCGGTAGTCGTGAAAGTAACAATTGGGATTAGTCAATCTAGTGAACTTAAATCTTTAGCTGACTCCATGACCTCACGGTCGCTTCGAAGTAGTACTAGTCTACACGGTGGCAATATCATGTTTCAGATGTAGCGTATGAACTATTTCCCATAATGACCGAACACCTACAAATCTATATATACCTTAGAATCTGGCATCTACGTTTGGGTACAAGGTACACCAACACCACTATTGGATGGAAATATTTCGAGATTGACCGTAACTAATAAAATCTACTTCGCTGTACCTACATCCAACTTATACGTTTCGCGGCTCACGTTGTTAAGGAAATTTCAAAGTCATTCAGTAGCACAAAGATAGCTATTGTAACATCGAGACAAACGAATCAAACGTCTTCATTCCCATTATAACTCCCAACTGGCAATGTTTTTAATGTGCTTTGTCGCGCTAAACCAGAACAAAACAACCATTCATATATTACAATCACTTATGAGGGAAGTCTTCAAGCATATGAGTACATACTACAAACTTGGGACCTAACGTCAAACACAGAGCGCGCGAGTCTTTCCAACAGTAGGCCTACTTTGAACTCTGGTACCTTAATAACTCAGCAATGTGACACAGCACGGGGAATTCTTGTCGACAGAAATATGGATTACGTAGGTCACAATTTCTGAATCTGCGATCGGCTGAGTCCTACGAAATATTGAAACGGCGTCTATTGATCCAGTGTATTCACAATACGGTTCTCACCGTGTTATAAAACCCAGCTAAACTGAACATGCAGTAATTTTTAGACCTCTGGCTACAGTAGAGTGATCATGTTTGTTGAATACACAATACCCTTGGTAAACGTAATATAACTTTTACAACACGTAAAATTAAGCAAAAATTAGATGCATGGGTTGCGCTTTGGTAGCACTATGTCAATACTGAAGCCGAGGTTTAGTAATGTTCTATGCGCACGCAAAAGTACATGACTTTGACAAGTAACGTCACATCAGACACAAATATCCATTTAATTCATTGTATCAGTGCTGAAATACAGGGTTCCCGTACATTTGAACCCACGACAATTGCACCTGCATACTATTGCACCTATGGATTTTTTTTGTTTTGCGGATATTTGAACCCATACTAACCCTAACCCATGGGTTTTAGCACCCGCATATAGATTGAACCCGCGGATATACACATGGATTCAAATGTACGGTCACCAAAGTACAGGCATTACAGCCAGTGGTGGGTTTCACTCACGGAATTTTATGAGATCAGCGAACCGGTTTGCATTACTGGTTACTCTCAATGATTTTTTGTAACAGAACCGGGTGAAAAACATGACTTTTGTGATGGAACCGGCTGACAAAAATATTGAATCCCACCACTGATTACAGCGTACCTTGAGTCATGGCCTTTAATTTATTTCTGACATATTATCTATCATTTCCCATACACATAACAATAATGGTAGGCAGATGAGGAATAAATGGATCGGCTGAGAACAGGATTTCAACATTCCCCTACCTTACACAGTATCAGTTCGCGAACTCTGAGCGACCTCAAAACCGGGAAAGCTAAACCAAATCTTCCTAGACTCACGATTTACAATGGAAAGCTCACTGCTCTTAAATTTCTTATGCTATCATGTAACCTCCAAAACATACTCATCATTTTAATTATATTATTTACGTGACAGAGGGATATAATAATAACAGTAATAATAGAAGATAGTCGAAAAGAAAAAGCACAAAGAGCGGAAATAATAATTATGTAGTTAAAATAACACTGGGGTCGAAATGGATGCAAAAGGCATAAGTCTAATCAAGCTTGCGCCGAACATTAAACGCGGAAACGGTGCTCCAATCACATGTTTAACTACCGAACGCGAATTTAAAAAATATGGCGAATAATTGTGATATCAATACTTTTTCAGTGTTAACCTAAAGTTGTGAGTTGGCAGGAGAATATTTTTTACATAAATCGGTATATCGGTATAAAAAAAATTCTATCCGAATTTTAATATTGCGAATAGTCTTTTTGATAACATTTTTCAGCGCTAAAATAGGCAAATTTATTGCGGATAGCAGCGTGGTTGAAAGTGCTAAAACAAGCGAGCAATACATGAGAAAGGATTTATACTACGAATAAAGCGTTATTAAATTAATAGCAAAAGATTGGTTAGAATAAAAAAAAACGGTTGCTACATAGAAAATGAGTAATAATGAACTTTTGATTTGGATCTACTGACAAAATTATTCATATGATATGACCACGAATAAAAAGGAATGGAAATCGTGGTAGGTTAGGTTATGAACGAGTTTTGTGTGCCCGAAATATTTTCTGAAATTTGTTAATAGATATAAAACATACTTTGCGCCACAGAACTCAGCAGCTCGGAAGTTTGAGAGTTCAAACTGGAGTTGTCTATTCAGATCTCGGCAGTTCAAGAGCCAAAGTCAAAATTTTGAATTCCCGAGTATTGGTATTAGAAATAATGTTCGGACGGTCAATTCATTCAAATGGAACAGTTCGGACTGGTAATCAATCAACTGCCGGAGAAACTCATCTATGTGATCAACTCGAAACCGATACAGGATTGTGACTCGACTTGATTCACAACTCACGATTTAGGAACTCAGAACACATCGAATAGAAGTCGAATTTTCAGCTAAGTCAGAATCATTTAAATGCCCAAACCTACATTTTTCTATCTTGGAGTCAAAATTTCAAGTAAGGTTTTAAACAAGATGTAGTGTTCGGAACCACTTCTCTAGTTTCGAGATCTACTTCGGAGGCTCAAAATAATCAAATGCGGCCAAAGAATTTCATGAGACAAAACTGTTACTAACAACCCTCATTATAATGAATATTAATAAAAATCGGCGACAGGAAAAAAAAAGAATCAAAAGTTCGATAATGGCAACGAGGACAACAAGAAATATGATTTACAAGCAGGCAATCAACATTTTAAACAAAATTTATTTGTTAAAACCTCCCAGCCATCGGCACTAGTTAACAATATTATATTATTGCACATACATATACTAACAAAGAAAGCCTACATAAAAAAAGCAATGTCGAATGGTTAATAAGCGAAAAGTGCAATTTTTCATACAGATTATATCGGTGAAATTGCCTTGTATGTGATATGACAGTATTATAATGGTAGATTTTCAGATTGAAATGGTGTGATATAGGTAATTATGATGAATTGCTAATTAGAGATGACATTTCGATACCGAATTAGACTATGAAAAGACAATATGAAAAATGATGATGTCGATTCCTAGCCCACGTCTTCATTAAAATGATTGAAAAGCAGAAAATAGGTTTAAAAATACGTTTTTGACACAAAAATGATGAAATCCAACGAGTAGCGAACATTTGTGACTCAGATAGAACCCCCAATGCTGATTGTGTTTCGAACGTTATGCTTCATTGTATTACGTTGTCTACTGCATTATTAAGATGATAAACAGTGATTCGTTTGTGATGTCATAATATACAATATAGGTAAGTCATCATCAATCTGCAGACATCCATGAATAAATACGACCCATTTTATCTCCAACATATATTTTATGGTGATCTCTGAAATAGAAAAAGTAAAATTAGTTCATACCAGAAAAGTTTAAGAAAATAATGAATGAAACGGTAGAAGATTTCCAAACATATTAAATCGAAATATTTGAGATTTGTGTATGTATTGAAATTTAGGGTAATCTTGCTATATTGCAATATAAATTAAGGGTACCACTTGGTATCCGCCAACTAGTGGTTTTTGATGGTGTTTCACTGTTTTTGCGCGTCTGCGCATACCAAGATGACACCATATTAACTATACATGTTTCATGCACAAAAATGCCTTAATGTCGCAATTCTTCAACGAGGAGGAGTTTCTACCCAGGAAGTAACTCTTGGTTGCGGTTACAAAATACACAACAAATATTTATCGACACATTATAAACTAATCCAACTGTGTGTTGCATAATGCATCATGGAAGTAGTAGCTAAATTGCTAGGCATGTTATATGAAGATATGAAGAAACAGTAAAACTGACAGAAAATATGAAATACTTACTTTGACATTGCAATTGCTGTGATGTCAGGAACGACTAACCTTCCTGTTTTATCAATTGCTTGATCGACTTGAATTTTTCCTTTCAATATCAATTGCTGCTGCCATACAAAACCTGAAACAAAGATGGTTGATAAGTTACTATGAAATGTTTTACACAAGAAGCAAAATGTGTGGCAAGAGGGTCGAAGTTTAAAATGCCAATGCTGTATTGCTGACAGAAAGCATGTTTGCGGATTAGTCTATGCCAGTTCATGCTTACCGGACGTCCCTGTTTCAACTTTAAGCTAACTTTCTGTAAGATTGCTTTTTCAATCATTTGCGAGAGTATTTTTTTGCATGCGGAAAAGTCGTATAAACATATAGACATACCTGGAAGCAATAATCTTGCATCTTTAGCTTGTTGCGTTTCAACATGTTTCTTATCGACCATAACAAAACTTTCATCTGTGCTTGAAGTTGGCGAACCTCTGTTTGTAGTTTTTTCTGCTTGTTTGGCTGAATGTGACGGCGAACCCGATTGTTCATTATCAGTTCTTGTGGCTTCAACTCTAACATATCCGGCTTCCATGTTATCTGTGTCCTTCTTTTTGTTGTTTTTGGCCGATAGATTTTCCGTAGATGAGGTTAAAGATATTCTGGAGTTTCCGGCTACATTTTTAACCTCAGGAAACTAAATAAAATATTTTAGACTATGGTAATGCACGAGGATTCAATTTTCCTACAAATCAACAGTGTTGGGTAAAAGTCCCCTAACACCGAGGGATGAGTCAAGTCAAGCCACTGGTCAACTGAGTCTCGAGTAAGTACAGGCAAATTTTAATATTTGAGTCGTGTGTGTTTCTGCACTTCCGGGTCACAATGATGAACCACTCAGATTCTAGTTATTAGGCCTACTCTTCTCAAAAATCTGAGTAGCTCAATACGAACTGGTTGATGCTTTCTGGTCAGAGGGAGATAGAGAACAGGGTAAGATGAGATACATACTATTATTTCAGAATTGATATAGTAATGATATTAACGCCAATGACAACCTAGATCAGAGTTTTTCAATCGAGATCCTCAGCCCTTGCTGCTACTAGGTACCATTCGCAAAAACTACTTTTATTTAAATAAATGGACGAGGATTTGTTTATTATTCAAAGGCACGGAGTTTTTTTTTTCTCGACTCCTTATCATTAAACATGGCGTTTTTTTCTATATGAAAGCAGGTCACAAGTGTCAAGTATTGTGAGTATTGTTTTGCTATACAGCTTATGCAAAATGTTTTTTGACAAAACAAAATAGAAAAATAAATAGAAAAAACATACCATTTGCTCTGCTGCCAAAGTGAAGTCATCTTTTGCTTTCGAATTTGCTAGTTCGAGAGCCGGAACATCATTCCATGGTAAAACAGCCAGTTCTCCCATTGATAAAACAGATATAGTGTCAGGTGCGGAAGCTTTCGTTAAAATTTTATCTTTCAATTTAAAAGTTGGAACTTGACTGAGACTGTCAACAGATTGTGCTTTTTCGGCAATGGCGAAATCTGACCCGACATTTCCACTTGCAATAGAAAGACTGTCAAGGCTTTTAACATCGTGTGCAAGAGTCAATGGTTTTGTTCGATTCACAATATCGTACTGTCCCATTGATTTTATACTTTGTTGGTCATCGTGTTCACCAGATTTTGATTGCTCCGGAACTTGTACGTATTCCAATCTCCAAAACTACAAAATATGGAAAGTTTTAAAAAAAATGACTTGCAACATGCTAATTGAATTAAAAATGTATATTAATTTGGATTTTATGGTAGTAACAATAACAGTAACAATAGTATCGAGTCTGAAAGCTCTGTTGTGGATAAACAAAAAAAGATCATTTCGATAAAAAACTGAACACAAGTCGAACTTATGACCACATCACTGCTCCTTTTTTTTAATTCCTTTTATATTTTGAAATCTTTTATAGTTTTTCCATTATAGTTATTCGACTTACACGAACATATCCATCGCTGTGTCCAGTCGCAATAACAGAATCATAATCCCATTCATTCAATTTTGAAATTGCGATCGCAGTTATATGTTGTCGCCTTGCATTCATTAATGTTGTATTCACTGAAGCAACATGATCTCCATTGATGGACCATACATGTACATGAGTGTTATCGCTTGTTACAATGTCACCCTGAAATAAAAATTGGAATTTTTGAAAACAGCATTTATTTACACCCCTTTCGTTCTGAACAATTTTATTCCAAAATATCTCAATACTCATTTCTTAGTATATCATTCATTCTTTCAATGCTGCAACTTACAAATAATTCTTACCGTTAGTTCATTTATACTTGTGTGAGCGACTCCGCTTTTATGTCCCCGCAATTGTCGGACAAACGATAATCGATTCAAATTCCATACAATGCAAGTGCAATCTTGTGATCCACTGACCAATATACCATATGCGGAACAGGATGCGAGACATGTAACTGTGTCGGTATGAGCATACAGTGACTGCAATAAGTAAGAGTGAATTAAAAAATATTTTTTTTATGAAGTATGCCATAATAAAAATATTGATCTACTTATCAAAATACCATACAGATAACAGGATGCGAGACATATCACTGTGTCGGTATGAGTATACAGTGACTGCAAAAAGTAAACTTAGAAATGTTGTTTTTATGAGGTAATTCGCAAAAAAAAAAATGAAGCTCCTCACATACGGCTAGATAGTAGTAGCAGCTTGCACAAGGCCTTGTTTGGGGAGAAAGACGTGAATACGCGTCACATAAAAAAATGGAAGACACACTGTCAAAATGCAAGCCGAATGACAATGCCCACTGACAGACTATTATGGCCATACTTCAATACCTATTTGTAACTCAATATATACATACCTGCTTTAATTGAAGATTTTTGATTTTGTCCTTGGGACTAGGTAGTTTCCATACATATACCACTGTACTTGTACCACCAGTTACTAGTGTTGTTTCATTTGGCATTGTTACACATTTAATTTCCCCACAATCAAGGTTTTCAAATATCTGAAATAGAATTTGGTCTATTATTAAAAATAAATTCTAAAAAAGGATTTTTTATTATGAAATATTGTATTTGAAAATATTGATATTTAAAATCGAGAATTTTAAATATTGCATATTAAATTAAATTAAAATTAGTTGAAATATCCAATTCAATCTGGATGTACCTGTATAACACCAACACATATGGTTAGATCATTAGGTTGCGTATCTATCATTACCTGCATTGCTCTCTCGCTTTCATAATATCCAATCCTTATACTGAGATCGCGACTACCCCAACTAAGATATCTTGAATACTGTGATGGTATTAAGATTTTAGATTCTTCTGTTGCTAACGCACCACGATCAGTGATGACAATTTCTCCAACCGGCCCTTTGAGTTCTGAAATAGAATTTTATGACGCAGTGAAAAAGGAGCTCAATTTATCGAGGTTTTCCTTAAACTGGACCTCCAGTCCCCCACGGAACGATTCCCTGGGTGTTATAAAAAATGCTTTCATTAGATAGTAATATTTGCCATCCATGAGTACGTTAACTTTACATAAAGTCGTGTAAAGGGACTGATTACTATGGGCAGGGGGGATATTCACTTGGTACAACACATACAGTCCGCAAACTCGTAATGGAACTAAAATAGGGAAAATCGGAATAAAATTATGGCCAAACCCTAATCTGGTACACACAATACGGGAGTACCATTAAATATGCACCGATTGAAACCTTCTAAAAGTATATTCATGGAAGACCAGGGGACCACAAATTTAGAGTGTCTTTGAAAGAGAGAGGGCCTGGGGGAAGGGTCATTTTGAATCTTGAATTTGAATCTTTGCGGTTCAGCAAAATTAACAAAAAAACAGTTGGATCTAACCTTTCACTGGTCCACTCGAACACTTTAAATTATCCAGATGTCTGTAAAATACTTTATCAAGAGGAGGTCCAGCTCCAAATGCTGATGGTGACAATGATAATGCAACACTTATTTCTTGCTCTTGTGTGGGAGGTTTTAAAGAAATTCTTTTTTGCATGTGTGGTTTTTTGAAGAGTTGTTTAGGAATCTGAAAATTTTTTTGGTAAAAAAATAGTGTCAAAAACAGACACGGCATGACTACATCCCAAATTTGGTCTCAAGTGATTCAGACAAAGGCATTTCCAGGAGAAAATTTTTATTTTTCAAGGAAATACAGAAATAATACTTTGTTTCTGTATGGTTTTACGAATACAGCTTAGTTATTTATTCACACAATATAAATTACTTGAACTGTATGAAAGTCGGAATGCGAGTTGTGACCTGTTAAAGATCAAAACAGACAGGAATGTCGGAAAAGGGCTTCGGAATCGCTCCTTTAATGGTATCTTGCACCTCATTCCGCAAATTTTTTTTTTTCAAATTAGGTCCCTTATAAAAGAGAAAAAAGAAATTACTTTTTAGAACATAACATGATAAATAAGATTTTGTTCCTGCTCACCTGTCCAAAATTATTAATAAAACCGATTGTTGCACTTCTTCTTAATGGATCTTCAATGGTATAAATATCAACTTCTCCTTCATAAAACAAATGATGGAAAACATTGTGCGATTCTAGAGCTGGTTCACCTTTTTGCTTGAACCTGAATATTATGAAATAGATATTTTTTACACATTTGTTGCCATTGTTGCTAAAACATAGCCCAATTGACAGATGAGGTAAATTTCAATCGAAACACACATATTTATGACTCTTTAGATTTTTAAGTAGATTTTTAGAATATGGTCAAACAACTGATAAGATTCCGATCTTTAAATTTGTCAGTATCTAAATAGAAATCTAGCTTACCCAAAGACTAGATCAATCCATTCATGCAAATGTGCTGAAACATAGTCACATTCTAAAGCTTCTCTATGGACCCGGATGAACTCTCTGGTGCTACCTTTGGCCCATGTTGGAAGAATAATGTCATCAAGTCTAATTCCATTCTGTTTTTGACCTGTGAAATGATTATAGGTGTGTGACGGAATAAAAGCTTTTTGCGAAACAAAAATTCAAAGAAACGTCTCATACCTAGATCAAAGTTATTTGAGTTGAGTAAAAACTCAGGAAGATAGAAAAATTCTGGGATTAATTCCTTGACGTCGGCCATGTTTTTTTCACTTGCTGAATGCCAGGCATCTCCAATGCTGTGAAACATGCGATCAGCCAGATCAAAGTGACCTCCCTGGAAGTAGTAAAAAATTTAGATTTTATTTATTATTGTCTCAAATTTGTATAGAAAGTGCTTCAACGGCAACCTAAACATTCTTAATCTGCCAGCATTTTAATTTCTGATCGCATTTTTGATATTAAATGTATTTTAAACTGGGACATATTTTTAAGAAAATTTTTTTGAATGTATATTTAAAAAAAAGTTTGAAGAATGGAAATTTGATACGTTTTCTTCTTTTTTACAGTTATCAAAATTTACGTGATTTTACATAATGTAACTTATTTTGAATGTATCTGGTTATTTGTCATTCTACATAAAAACTAATTCCCAGTAATATCAAATAACTTAGCTAAAATGCTTTCTGATACACAGTTTATGGTTTTAGAACATAAAATGCAACACCTACCTGCAATCGAAGAAAATGTTGAGTAAATGGTTCCATTCTTACAAGATAAGAAGCAACAATCATTGCTGAAGAATAATGTGTTCCATAATGATAAGGTGGGGTATCTCCTGCAAAACAGATAATATTTCATGAGTATTAAAACGCAAGATAAAAGAGCCCAAAGACCAACAAATAATAAACAATAGAAGCAGATTGCGATATAAGTTACTTTGTCTGGATAGTTTATGCCATGGGTCAACAACCTTTAGCATTAAAAAAGAGCTATTTGGCATTCTTTCCATCAACCTCAAACATACTCAGAGCCATCACATCTACTGTAATGTCAGTGGCTATTAAAATTCTCGGAAAACAACCTATAATGCAATAAGTTTGTACTGAGAAATATCCAAATTGCGGACCAATGATGCGATAATTCAGTCTATGACGAAATTAAGAGAAAAAGTTTGTTTTGCAGACTGGAATCACGTCACTGGAACCATTTTCCCGAATTATACTTTGAGAGTATTTTGTTTTAAGCCTCTGCTTTTCATTGAATCCTCACTGCTTCTAAAAAAAACTGCGACGACCATGTTATTCAAAGGAGCCAGATCTCCGAGAACGAAGTGCAGCAGGTTGCAGATTGTTGGTTTATGCTGCTCAGGCCACAAATAGCCCTGTTGAGAAGCTTAAAATTTTAACTGATGTTTAAAAAGTCCATACCTCCAAGATCTTCCCATTCTCTGTATCTTTTCTTAAATTGCTGTAGCCTGTCTGAAGTTTGAGCACCCATTGGTTTTGAAAAATCACGGAATGTCTTTGGATTTGTGAGATCTAGAACCTATGGGGAAATAATGAAAGCAGTTATCTTGCTGACAAAATCCGGTGCTCCCGGAGTATGCGCACCAAGATGTCGCATAACCTGAACCCTAACCTGGTACACAATTTGAGTTCATGTTGTGCACCATCTTGGTGCGCATACTTCAGGAGGTCCCAAAATCCAGTTTGTTCCATACTATAAATAACAAGAGGGCTATGCTCAAATATATGGACATGAAAGTGAAACAAAGTCTTATGTATGGATATGCAATTTTTCACAGTTGAGTAGACTGCTGGTACCTGGATCACCAGATAACAATGAATGCGGGCGGACCTGCCAATTTTAATTTTGATGACATCATCGCACACAAGAATATAATAATCCCATAAAGCACAGAAATTTTAGAAATAAATTAGAGATAGCCTTCTAGCAACAACAACAATCTTTAACCACTGAAAATTTCAAAGCAAGGTCAAGTACTTAAAGAGAAAACGATTTTTTCAGTTACTGATAACACCCCCATATTAAATATTTAATAAGCCCTCTACAACTGTTTATTACAAGAAAAAACTATGGGTTGGTGATGAACCAACAGAAATACTTGAGAATCTGCTGTTATTTTCCAAATCCTGGGATCACAATAACCAGTTTATTGTAAAAGAAAAAAATGTATGACTGACTGAAATGCTATTATTAGTGCATTCATGGGACTATATGTCAAATTAAAACATAAATTGGTATGCATGACAACGTACCTCAGAAGTATAGTCAGCTAGCACCCAAGGAAATACAGGATATTGCATCAAGTCATTATATGATCTACCAGCCAATGTGTTGATGTACATGAGATATTGAAAGTTGCTGATTTCTCCTCTCTGAACAAATTGAAAGCATTGTCAAATATTATAAATACTATCTCAGTTTGAGAAACCAAATCTAGGAGTTTTGCAATGGTGTGCGAGGCCAGTGGTTACCAACCTAATTTCAAGCAACCCAAATATTCCAAAAAATGTACGAGTATGCAATCTGTAACAGTGGACTACTGGTACCGCAGTCTTCAAGACTTTGCCTGAACACTAACGCAAACGCAGAATCGCCACAAGGTGTGCAATTTTCAATTTGGAAGACTTCATCACATACCATTTACAATACAAAATTTTTGAAATGAATAAAGGTAATAAAATCAAAAAAAAAAAAAAAAATCTTTAACCACTGAAAATTTCAAAGCAATTGGTCAAGCAGTTAAAGAGAAAAGCGATCACAACAATAACAACAGCAGCATAATACCAAAATGATCCGCATGTTTTTTTTGTGTCCAAACCAAAACAGCAGAAAAAACAACAAACGTAACTTACTTCCCATCTTTGTGTCACAGTTTTTTCTCCCATAATATTAGTGAGCAGTGCTGGTCCTTGTTGCTCAATATTGACGTTACTTTTTTGTCCGATTACGAGATCTTTAGAATTATCAGCAAGCGTAGTTGCAAATGACACAAACCTATAACAAATTGAAACAATATTGTTATACACTTTTTTATGCATTTTGCTCACAACAAGGCCCTGTACAAGCAGCCACTGATATCTGAGGATATGTTAGGAGCTATAATTTTTGGTAGGTCCAGAATCTTCCGATTCAGCACATTTATCCAATTTATTCCATGGGTTTTAACCAGAGATGTGTGACTTTCAATGCCAACACCATTTCTCACATCCATAAATTACAATAAAAAAGTATAAAATTATGTAAAAAAATATCTTTATTATAAACCAAGTAGAATTAAATATGGATTCACTGATAAAAAAAGCAATATTACATTCTGAATTATCCTACACGACATTCGCTTTGAATTATATGATTGCTGTACAATAATATAGGACAAGTACATTTTATACCAGTGTTCTTCAAACTCTTTTCATCACGGGATAAATATTTGGCAACTTTGGAAACTCTCAGAAACTTTAATGAGAGCAATGTGCTTGCATATTCTCACACAAAAGATCTAATCTTAGTCCTATTTTGGCGATGGTGGGTCTCAGTACTAGTTACAAATCTTTCACCGTTGAAAAAGATTTCTCACACTGATACGTGGAGGAAAAAGGTAGAAGCGTAAGTATGGCTAGTTCTGACAATAATGAGTACAGCAACCCCCATTGAGCACTTTCGCAACCCAGCCAAGAGTTGGGACCACTTATACCATACCAAGTTATTTCATCTCTGAGTAAGGCATAATGTCAAAAATTGAAATAACAATATGACAAGTATTATAAACACTGGACCTAGAGTAAAAAAAAAGGAAATTTTTATACTTCTGATAAACTTTATTTCTTGTTCCTTGTGGAAATACGATAAGATAATTTCTTCCATCACTACTGAACACTTCCAATGCAATATCCTAAATAAAATAAAAAAGCAACCTTATTATTGTTTATATATTATTCATCATTTCGAATTAAGAATATATTTGGCATATTTCATTTTTCAATAGCTTCCAAATTGCTTGTTCTGGTGTAAGCAATGTTCAAGTTTAATAACAAATCTATTTGGCACGATTATTTGATGTCATTTCATCGTTATTTATATATTTTAGGACAATTTGCAGTTACAGTAAAGGAGTGTAACAGACCATCGGAACAACATGCCTATTTCATGTCTGTTTAACACTAAATGTTTCGAACAAGAGTATATTCAGAAGCGTGCATTCATTCCACAATACCTGTAAAAGATATCTCCTCTTGTGTACTTCTCTAATGTGATCATATGAAAATCTACTGCATAAATGTGAGTATGATGCAAGCGAAGGAGGTGCTTGGAATGGTTTGTTTGGATCATCATCAGGATTATGACCTGGTCTTGATTGCTGAGGAATGATTGGTTCGTGATATCTGGAAAAATAGGAATTGTGCAATCACAAAGAATTCATCAAACAAAGTTAATATTTCTGGATATCTACTTGAATGCAGAATGAGAAAACTTCAATTCTCTGGTTGGCTAATTGTACTAAGTGTTGGGATTGGCCTCTGATTCTTCCGTGCAAGTTTGGATCTCATGAGAAATAATTATGTGTGATACCGTAGTACGTGTACCAGGTCAAGCTTAGGCCATATTTTTATTCTGATTTTCCTTTTCTTAGTTCTATTACGAGTTCGGGGACTGTCTGGGTTCGCCAAGTAAATATACCCCGCCCATAAGTTTCAGTCCCTTTAGACAAATTGATGTAAAGTAGGCGAACATAATTAGTTACATAGGATATTGATGGTGAATTTTGCAAGACTTTCACGCTGGTTTACATAATTCATCATTTGAAATTACTTACGCTGGTGGTAGCGAAACAATTTCTCGAATTTCTTTGCTCTTTAACATTGTGAAACCATCAATGATATAAAAATTATCTTTTCCAAAAAGTAGTAATCCTTCGTAGGTGTCAAGACCTTGTACTCTTGCACAACGGAACATATGTCTGAAAAGTAACAAAATATTTCTGTTAATATAAATGAATAATGCCAAATAAAGAACACAGATAGTCAGAGAAAATGGATTCTATCCAACCACAAATTCCAAAATGAGGTTACTTGATAAAAATATGGTTTTGTTGAAACAATGTTCATACCATCATCTCGAATTGCAAAAATCAGTTGTGTTAGGCACTTCAGTCTAAGAGTCATCCAATATTTATTCACAATCGGAACAATAAAGTAGAGAAGCTATGCAAGGTCGCCACTTGGGGAGTAAAAATAAGCAACCAAAAAGGGGGGTCCAATTATAGGCTCGAATCTTAGTGTGCAGTGCTGGATGCGTCGTTATGACGGAGAGGTTCATGTAACCCCCATCCAAGTAAGACCCCCTTCCAAATTCGAGAATGTAGAATGATTTGCTGGATAGATAAGTACACACCAGACTTAGATTGGTAAATAGATTAGGGACTGTGAATTGTGATCCACTTTATTATGTTTATTATGAACAGTCTCATCTTGCCAGTAAGAAAATCTCATACCACATCCTAAGAAAAAGATTCTGATCTTTCAAAATTAAGTGGCTTTTTATGTCTCATAGCTACTGTCCGGGATGTACAAAACGAATCAAATATTTGAATACATTGGAAATTGTTTATATTCGATTTTGTGAATTCTTGATTTTAGGAAGAATTTAGAATATTTTCAATTGAAGATGTCTTTTTAAGCATTTATTATCTTATATTATCTTATGATAGACGAAAAATTATTTAAGTCCTGACAGAATAATATAGAGAATACTAATTAAAACAATGTTTATCTCAATTATTCTGTATAACTAAATTCAGTTTTGACGAATTTACAATTGTTACAAAATTCTTTTGTAGAACAGATCCATGCTAGAATATATTCGATATTGAAAAAGATTAATTTCGAATGTATTTGGAATACTGAATTATTCAGTTTTGGTTGGCCATCCTTGACTACTCTTTCGAGCGCTGTTACGGATAAAAAAGTTATAACATATTATACCAATTATACTGCAAACCTTATTTTCTCTCCATCCTCTAGTAGTCTCAAAACAGTCTGATTGTCAGGTTTATTTTCTTGTTCAACCAGGCTTGCTTGAGACTCAGAAGTTGGAAATTCTTTTGTTGAATCTTGATTTGATTTGTCATCTTTGTTTGAATTCTGTCCTACTTCCACCAAATCAGGTAATTCGTCAGTTTCAGAAATTCCATCCGATTCAGCGACCTGAAAAAATTGACAAGAGTGGCTATGATTTCGAATGTCCGTTCATAGCACAGGAAATTGGGAATTGGGAAATATTTACACTCAACTCTAAGTCCGGGTTGTCAAAAATTTCATGATGAAATCGAATTTTGATAGAATAATTTTGATGTGTGCCAGTCTTATTTTATAGACTTTTAGAAAAATTTAGTAAACTTGAAGTTTTGAGTTTTTGCAGAACATTTTTTTTTTTAGCATTATTGAACTGTTGCAATTCAGCTTTGACTCCAGAAATTCAGAATGTCAACCCAGGGAGTTTGAAAATACAGCTGCGGCTTAGAATCCAATAAAAAAAACGCTAAACTCAATTACATAGGCCTGTTAACAAATAATATCTGATATAAAGCCTCATAAACCATACCTCAGTTTTCTTGACATCCTCAGCATTATTTTCCGCGTCTTCTGTGAATGTTGCTTCAGCTTCCGTGTGACTTTCATCTGTACTGCTGGTCGAATCGCTCTCATTATCAAACAGTTTTTTATCTTGTTTTTCCGTCAGTGTATCATCAAGAATACTTCCATTCTCAACAACTGTATCCTGATCTCCGATATCATCCGAATTCGAAACAATCTTCTCGTTGATTTCGCTAGAAATTTCGCTCTTGTTGACTTCATTGTCAACTTCGTTTTCCGATAAAGAATCGGTCGAGTCTTGTTTAGGAACAGGTTTTGGAATTCGATTTGAAGCAATTATTGATTCTTCAACATCGTCTTCATATTCTGGCGGAAGACCATGAATGTGCATGTACTGTTTGATGCTGTCCTTGCTGATCGGCTTTCGATGTTTCATTTTCTGTTGCAAAAATTATTTGTTTAAAAGTCTTCAGTAACATAAATATGCTGAACATGATTTTCTTATTGTTTCATAACAACACAACTAAAAGGGTTAGAAAGTATGACGGCACTCTGAGAAAATTTTGATAATAAAGCATTGCTGTATTCAAGTTTCCTTCAATAGACTATAAATGCTTGGTAAACTAAATACTTTTTGAGTATCTGTGAAAATTATGACTTCTATTATTACAATTGAAATTTATGGATCTGAACAATTCAAAATTTTGACTCCAACACTTTGAAAATATGACTTCAGCTCCAGTGAAAACATTCCAACACTTGAAAAAACTGAAATACGCTGATGGGACGTATTTGAAAGCTTCTTTTTGTATTTCAATCATGACATAACAGACTTGAAAGATCAAGTTCAAGCATCTGAAACAGATAATTGGATGACTAACCCCATACCTGACAAGAAGCCGTGGTTTGCCATATAATTAAGCCGCAGTACTCATCCCATCCCTACATACACTTAGGAAACATATTCGAAGCTAAAAAAAATCATACCAATAAAACGATTTCTTCTTTCGTCCGATGAGGATAGTGTTCATAAAAATTATCGTTTCTTGTCATCTTTTTTCTCATGCGACATGGGCCTTCCGTAGAGTCTAACATCCACTTATGAAGAGAAGTTGGTTTCTCTGGCCCCCATACTCCCCTTTCTCGAACTAATTCTTTTTCAATTTCCGTCCATTCTTCATCAGCATATCTTACCAAGTGATCTTGATCCTAAAAATAAGTACAATAATTTAATCATAATATTGTTCACAAAGAATTGTCATAAATAGAATAGTCTTTTGCTCGTAGGCAATTATCTCTTGAATTTTATTAGTAGATCTAATTATATGGAGTTAATGATTTTTCTCAGAGCATTGGACTTCCTTGACAATAATAAATGAAATTTTAGTGGCCACACAGACACTTATTTCACAAAGACAGATTTGCAAGCATGATAATCAACATTAGCTCATTTTCGTTTTGTTAGCTTTCTGCCATTTTGATTTTCAAAATTTAGACAACGGGTATCAACTCGATATATCTACCAAGGAGTTTAGTTGCTGTAATTAAGTATTAATCCTTAAAAACCTGTGACAGACTCGACTAAAATAAGATATCGATACTTTTAAATATGAGGGGGTTTAAATATTTCAAATCGGAAATTTTATGAAACAACAAGCAAAGGAAGAATTTTCCTGGAGTCAATAGTGGGTAAAACCCTCATTGAGACTTGAAATTGTTTTATAATAATTAAATAACACCTCAATATTTCGGACATCTTTAGTAATTATGATTTATAGGTAGGCTATATTATTATATCAATCGATGATAGTTACCTGTCTGAAACTATTATGTTGAAAATTCACGAGATCTTGTACCACAGTCATGTGATTCAATGCCCAGACTGTACTGTCCTGTATAAACAAGAATTGGAATGAAAAATAAAATTGAATCTAATAAGGAAAAATCCAACAATACCGAACCATGTGGATATGGATAGATGGGTTAATAATAAACATAGAACATATGCAAGAAAATGCTTGCTATCAGGAATTACAATACGAAAAAGTAAAATTACGGTACTTGAATCCAAATGAAATTTATTCTATAATGGATAGACTTCAATAGACTTCAATAGACTTAGAATAGACTTCATGTAACTATGAATGGAAAATGTATTTTCTTATAACTGAATTGTCAAGACCTTCTGAGCGGTTAAACATAAATAAACCATAATGACTATCAACCTGTATTCACATAAACACTATTCTATAAACAGGTACTCTTAAGCTTCATTATGAATTTAAATTATGATATGGAAATTTCTATGCAGCAAACTGCAATGCAAAGGCAATCACTGCCTGTGTTATGCAAACACATATGACCATTCTTCCTGCATTGTTGTTTTGAGTCATTTCCCAGTTTTTTAATGAGATGATACATGGGGACAATGTAACAGAATGGATTATGGTATGAAAAAAAATAGGTAGATAATATAACATTTTACTGATATAATGTACCGTAATTACAATCTGCATATGATACTGTTATCCCAGTTACTGGTATACATACTTGAATAGTCAAATTATTTTGAATAGCAATCATCATCGTTTTAATATTTAATAATAAACATATTCAAGTAGCACTTGATTCAAGTCATAATAAATATGACCAATAATCCCGAGATAAGACCAAATAAGGAATTTGCGGCAACGATGTCGAGACATGAGGACATTAGCGTCCACTTGAGTTATGTGTTCAAATTTAAACTTGAAAACAACAGCTTTGATTCATTGATTAAAATTTAAGATGCCCTACTTGTTGGCATGTTACATATACAGCCATGTATGATCAACCTAATATAACTCAAAAAATTGCATATCATCACATAATTTATTGCCTTAGGGTATTATTTTTTAAAGGCTAATAAAAGACTTGCCCAAAAACAAAGCTATGTCCAAATTTTGGCTGATTTTGTAAAAAATGGCACATGTTGCCGTAAATTACGTCAGGTTACGGAGAAGCTAAACCATAAGCCATACAATGCTGATAACAATCAATTCATGGTGAGAAAACGTATTTATAGTTATACAACAAAGGATTTGTGGTGTATTATGGTTTTTAAATCTGAAACTGATATCTAAGACATTCACACAAGTAAAATACCGCAGACCACAAATTTGGTTAGTACCAGTAATATGATTCCAATAAATTAGAGTCAAAATATTTTTGAAAACAAATTACGGTAAGACTGAGACTGAAATTTTGTTTCAATTAATATTAGTCCAAAACATCTAAATCAGGACTTCCTAGTCGTGGAGAATTTTAATTGTTTTAGGGTAGGACTTTATCTTTGAGTGTAGTATTACCAATAGTTTTATTTAGTATTATCATAATACATATTCATGTGAATATAAAATATTCAAACTGTTCAACAGCCAGAGTGCGAGTTGAATGTATCCCAGGATAATGATTCTTTAAATATTGAACAACAAACGAAAACACAGGCGGAATGTATTGAAAAAGGTTGATAACCAATTATCTAAAGCAGGGCTCTTCAAATTGGGGGTCCCGGTCGTTCGATGGGTTGCGAACGGGGTTGCGGTAAAATATTGACAAGACTAACTTATGATAAAACAAAATATTGATTAGTTTTGGAATCAGTTCTGAGACCCACCATCACCAAAATAAAGCCAGGATTCAATTTCTTGTGTGAGAATATGCAAGCACAACGACATCATTAAAGTTATTGTCATTTTTGTTATATATTTTCTTCAATAATAAATTCTGTTTTATTTTTATCTTCAGTTCTAGAGGGCCGCAGAAAATTGGCCATGCCAAGTGGGCCATGATGGAAAAAAATTTGAAGTTGATCTAAAGCCAAATTATCAGCTAATAGTTGAGCTTTCATTGAGTTGAAGGCAAAAATCATTTATTCATATACAATTTACCACCCGCTGCGGGTTACCGCGCTGTAACTCCACCGATAATCCTAAAAAATCTTTAAATATTGAAACTTTTTCTTTACAGACCTGAAGCATTAAAAACTGATCTTCTGTGTCGAGTATATAAACATCTCTTAATCTCAGAGTAGTTTCCAAATCTTTTTTAAAATCCCCAAGAAAGTTAACGACAGAGTCAACAGGACTATTTTTCCTCCCCAACGCAGGAGATTCCCCTAAATTGGTTGGAGTTGCCGACCTGCGGCGAGTCATCCATCGTAAGGGTGACGGAGTCTTTTGTTGCGGAATCGTAAAAGGTTCGATTGGGCTCGAATTTGCACTCGATGGGGCTGAAGCGCTGAAAATCAGCGGCTTAAATGAAAGTTTGTCGAACATCGCGTCTTTCAGTGATAAATTCCAGTTGACCATTTCAACATATTAGCATTTACCAGTTATACGTTACTCATATATCCACAAGTATTCTTTGTATATAAATCCAAATTTAATATTTTTTCTTTTAGTGCTATTAGCTATAACCATATATTATATATGAATAAAATTGAGCATTACAATAAAGCAATAGTGATTCACTTGATTAGTTCTCCACTAAACAATGGTTCAATACACTTTCACTTTTTGGAAGCAATTAACAAATTTCTAGTTACAGCACTAGTCATACTTGACCTACAGGCAAGTATAGGCCTATATCATTCAGAAATATGCTAAAGTAATTTTAAGATTACTTAATATACACAATTTTTTTATTATTCGCATGGTTCATTGAAAATTATATCACTAGTCTTAGGACATTTATATCTAACTTAGTTAATATTTTTAATGATAATCTACATTACCTCTGAATTTTAAAGAATTACTCCCAATTATATTTATATGCAAAAAAATTGGGAAAAAAAACTTTGATTTTGGCTAAGAAGTCTAACTTGGTTTTCTTGCTGATTTCTAAACCTGAGCTTGTGGAATTTGCAATTTCTACCCAAATAAAATTATTCCAATGAAGTACATTTTGTTATACTTAAAACGTTAAAATGCTCGGCTGGCAGCATTGGCACTCTCTGATTAGAATACATTATTCCTGAGAAACAAATGTATCAAGGTAAACCCAATCCAGTAATTATATAGTGCTGACTACATTCTATCCCTCTTCAGAGCTATTCAACTTCATCTATTGCGCCACAAAAAATGAGGGTTCACCTTTCCATTGAAATCACAATATGATTATTTTTGTTGAAGTACATGACTCATTATAAGTCTATACATAGTGCCTGCTATAAATTATGCTCCAACCGTCGGTAATCTTTTCAAGAACTACCGTACTGTACTCTCTCATTAGAGATCTAGTCAATTGTCATCATCAAGGACCACAAAAGGCGATTTCAAAATTCGACAACCTGACAATCGTCGCCAATAAAAACTCCATCAGGTTGAATGAGAAAGCACTCATTTTCGGGTGAAGGACGACAAAGAAAAATTTAAAACAAAATCAATAATCGTCGGACCGAGTCAGGTAAAGATAAGAATGAGGTTTCCGGCAACGTCGTTTCATTTCAAAAGTCGCCAACCGCGCAAGGTCTGTGAAATTCACTTGGCGCTGTTTTGAAGTCTTTGTTGAATCGAGATAAATAGCACTAACTGCGAGCTTGTCACATTAAACAGATTGTCGCACATCCGTTGTCCATAACTAGCGATTAAATTCAAATCACAGTCATAATTAAGACAAGGCGATACTTCGTATTGGAAACATGGAAACCTATCCTAAAATACAATTTATTTTCGGCAAAATCAGCACTACTTCTGTGCGTGTAAACTATGCTCTACCGAACTCAACAATGACGGCACGCTAACTTTACCGCGGCTGTAAAATGCATACATAACAAATTCACGCCGACCTACCGCGACTCAAAGTGCATAACAAATCATAACGCTACATAGCGTCTGTTATTCACGCTACGCGATTTCGTTCAGGTAAACCAAAACTAAACACGTTTGACCTACTTGGTTGATCTTAAATTTTGAAAACGTTCTAAATTGCGAAAAAGTGGACTTTGAGCGCTTCTTCTATTCCGAATAATCTTATCTCGCCTAAGTTGACCTAAAGTAACCCGACAAGAAAATGAATGACATCACTGGAAGAAGACGCTTCGTTAAAACTTCGAAGAAGACGTTTTATGTCGTAACTTTTTATCATTTTGCTAACGTTACACCTACGATTTTGGTCAATATGAAACGCACATTATGATCTTCAATTGAAAAGCTTAGCTAAAATGTCTGAATACACCAGACCCGATTTTATGAAAATGACATTTTGGGGCTTTGGAGGGGCTTTAGTGCTTTCAATTATCATTCAGCTGACTTCAATTGTCGCAACACTACGGAAAACTGCAACCCTGGTCGCCGAAGAGTGGTATTGTATGAAATAACACCCCTAAGTATAGAATTATGGAAATTTGTTTACATTTTTATATCCCTTTTCTGTTCACGTTAAATGTCCATTGTATGCCTTACCCATGACTATCCCACATTACGCCTAACTCATAACTAAAAATAACTATGTTTCGCTTCGTATATTTCTCCAAACTGATTTTAAAATTAGCACAACCCGTTAGCAACGTGTTTTGGACAGAAACGAGAAACGAAATTAAGCTCAAAATACACTTAGTTCTTCGAGAGCAGGAATTCACAAGAAATGTTGACATATTTCGGCAAATTTTCGCTTTGCGTGATACTATATGCAAATTATCATTATTGAAGGTGCAAACATGAGTTATACATAATCGAGCGTACGTGTCATTGGCACAAGCTTGATCAAAATATAACACGGTTATTGAAAACAATATACAACAAAATAAGACATATGTTAAGAAGCATTAACATGCATAATTGAACACCTTAATCAGATAGGGCGTGTGAATGTTTTTCGAAAAAACAGACAGACAATACGACAGACGGGCAGA